ACTTAAATATTTAATTTCGTATTTTTAATCAAACTTCAACTTATTATTTTATATTCATATTAATAAATAAATAAACAAATATGTATGTACCATTTTGGTCGACCAGTTTTTGACATTTTTCCGCTTAGACATTATTCCTCAGTGTAAATCGAAATTTCCAAAACGGAAGCAGCGAACCATTGTAGTGCTACACGTCTCCGTTAACTTCACAAATTTCATTGTTGGCTTCCCTGGCATATTTCCTTTTTTTACACAAAAATTTCAAAATATACCGAATTTCTTCATTATTTTCACTCATTTTTGAAGAGCTGTAACTTTTTCAAAATCCCCGAATTTGTTTTTTTTTTTGGTTAAATGAAGCTTAAAATGTCACCTTTCCAACACTACAATGTGATTGCTAGCACTGGAGATATGTATGTATACGACTGCAACGACAACTATCGACACAAAATACGAAAACACTTTTTCGACTACCAATAAAAGTTAATTGCGCACTAATTTAGAAGGTTAACTCACAACTTATTAATTATTTACAAGTGAGCATTGTGTTAAATCAGCAATTATATACACATACATACATATATATTAAATATATTTATATAATATATGTATATAATTTGTTTACTTTGGCTTTGAAATATTCAGAGGAAAGTGCATCATAACTCGAAAGTGGAAATATTTTTGAAATAATAAAGTTTTATTACATATTTATAATTTGTTCTTATTTTTATTAAGTTTTAGAAACATACATTCTGATATATTCCCACGTATATAGTATATATTTATATGTGTGTATATGTTTCTACTTCCCAACAACACTAGAAAAAGCAATAACTTTTTAAATTTATGTTACGATTTATAAACATGAATGTATATAAAAGTATATATATGTATTTTTATTGCCTTAATTGGCATTAAAATAGGTCAGGCGATAATATTCACTTACAGAAATCACATGGAGAAGGCGCACGCCCTTGTTTATAGGAAGGAAATTCAATGATTGAGCGTAAGTTGAACAACAAATTTATTTTTGTAAATTTTTATTTTAATGAAAAATATTTTTGTAAGTTTTACGAGCTATTGACGTCACTTATCCTTACTAAGCTGTGATTCTTTAGGTTTTAGTTAGAAAGCTAACGTCACAGCCTTATAAAATGGCTTGGCAGGCGCATTTTTATGAGCAACATTAATATATGTATGTAGCAGCTATACATATGTATACAAACATGCGTAGGCGAGTATATAGCTACGAATTCATTGATTAAAAGCTATAACACGAACATGTTTTACATGCATACTTGAGTGATCAATTCTAATAAATTTTTTAGTCTGAGGCGATAATGATTTTATTATTACTATAGTAATTATATAAAATACTTGACAGACATAAGATATTAAACTGTAAAGTAATCAAAAACGGCAATGCTTGAGATTCCCTTGTTATCTTATCTAAGTTTATAAGCCGATAAATAATGTGATTTGCCAAAGCTATTGGTAAATATATTCACTGTTTCAGATTTGTCTAACTATACATACATATATTTCATTGAATTTTGTTTTTAGCGGTCTGTAGAAACTTAACTTATGTGTTGTCATTTATATTAGCACTTTGATGCTACTCAAACCTATACAAATATATTAATAATATATATATGAGGCCCTCTGTACACACAGACTACTCTTCAGAGAAAAAATATTAACCGTTATATTCTACATTAAACCGTTCATAACGTTATAAACTCAAATATAATCTAACTTAAATTTGTATCAGTTCAGTTTAAATGAGGCCTAAAAGTATGCTATAATCGAACTACTAACGCGCATTATACACAAATATCGCACTAGACCAGAGTATATAAACGACTAGACAACAAAACAGTTACGTAATGCTTTGAAGCGAAATTGCGAAAAACAATGTACACTTGTGGATTTAGATAATATAAAGGTTTCTCAATTTTATTCTTAAACAAAAGCTATTTCTTGGCGCATAGTATGCTACATGATGAATGCGAACTAACGTACATACGTTGTATACAAATTAGAAAAAAATTTAAATCGTATCTAATTATAAAGCAATTGTTGGTAAATTTTTGTTTAGAAAAAAATAAAATAAAATAAATGCACTACGGTTTATATCAGATGATTAATGACGACATTGTAGCCTTACAATTTCCCTGTCAACTCTGGCACAGCTTTGAAAAGATCCGCCACCAAACCAATATCTGCTACCTGGAAGATTGGAGCTTCGGGATCTTTGTTTATAGCCACTATTGTCTTAGAGTCTTTCATGCCAGCCAAGTGCTGAATGGCACCGGAAATGCCGACAGCGATGTATAATTCGGGTGCGACAATTTTGCCTGTTTGACCAATTTGCAGATCGTTGGGCACATAACCAGCATCAACGGCAGCACGGGAAGCACCGACAGCAGCACCAAATTTATCAGCCAAATCATAAAGTAGTTTAAAGTTATCGCCGGATTTCAAACCACGTCCACCAGACACAATCACTTTGGCACCAGTCAACTCTGGACGATCAGATTTAGTAAGTTCTTGCGAAACAAATTCACTCAATTGGGAGGCATAATCTCCAGTTGGTGCCTGTTCTACGGCGCCACTACCACCAGTAGCAGCGGCAGGTGCGAAATTCGTACCACGCACGGTTATCACTTTAACGGGATCTGTGGAGCGCAGTGTCAATATGGCATTACCAGCGTAGATAGTACGCACAAAGGTGTCTTCGCTCTTTACATCGATAATTTCTGAAATAGGCGACACATCCAATTTAGATGCTACGCGTGGAAGTACATTCTTTCCAAACGCAGTGGCACCAGCCAATATATGTGTAAACTTGAAATGCGATTGAGCTGCCAGCACAAGTGGTGTAATAGATTCCGGCGTGAAACCCTTGAAAGCTGCGTTCTCCGCCACCAAGACTTTAGCAACACCTTCGACCTTTGCAAGTGCTTCAGATGCCTAGAAATTTTATACACGTTATTACTTTGTTGTTGATTATGCAAACATAAAACAAGTAATGCATTTACCGGACCACATTTGGTGCCAGCTACCAATACCGTGACATCACCACCGATCTTCTTCGCAGCGGAGATGGTGTTTAATGTAATCGGATTTAGTGCCTCATTATTGTGCTCAGCAACCACCAAGGTGCTTTTGCAGCGGTTGATCTGTAATAAATGTATTGTTTTTTTCACGTGGGCTACATTGCTGCTTTTTGCTTACCAAACTGCTGCGTATAAGATTCCTTGCATTGGAACTGAACATTGTAGTTTAAAAATAATAATAATTACAAAAATAAAATTTAGGTGGTTTTGCTGCAATCTCCTGCAAAAATGTTAGCTGATAAGAATTTTTATTAAATCAAAGCTTGCTAATTAAACACTTACTCGGCGATCGCCACGAAAGTCCAAAAGTCGAATAACTCTTCAGACAGCTGTTCGTGGTGAGTTATACAATCAGCTGGTTTCTGTCTCAACTATGTTGTTCCTCTGTCAATATTGAAAATTTTAAATTATGGATAATATAATTTAAAAACCATTATTAATAATATTGTTTTCTTTTTTTAAAATATATTTATAATATTAATAGCAATCTTACAATTGTATTTGCAAACTTACCACTTTCGTTGAGAGTTTTATGAGTGTGCTGTCAACATGTTATGGTAAAGTGGCAGCATTGATTGTTGACATGTGTGCGTGCGTACCATAATATATGTCAAATATCTTCGTAAATATTTATAGTTCTTAACAAATAATAAAATTTTGATAAATTTACTTAAAGTCCTCCAAAATCTCAAAATTCAAAGTGTTTTCAAAAGTATTTAAATATTTTTTGTTGTCAGTGCGGCAACTATCAATCAGTATCAAGACTATGGCACCTTCAATACCAGATAGGTTAGTGCTAAGAACGGCGGCAAGAAGCTCAAATGGTTTTCCCCATCATTCATATAATTACGTACATATGTAATAATTTGCAGATGGCTCAACTATACTCCTATGGGTCAACGGGTCGAAGGAACACGATTTATTGCATTTAAAGTGCCGCTTCGGGAGGTGAGTTTTTAACAAGAAACCTATCTATCGCTTAAAAGTTAGTAGCCCTTATTTTTGGAAGTGATCGGAATGTTTATTGCGTCGTATACACATTTAATGGTACTATAGATAGATATGCATCTATGTTCCAATTCTTTCACTATAATTGATTTCATAAATCGTTAATAAAGGAACCTTACCAATCCGACGTTTGATGCCTTGTCACCGCAACATTTAAATTTTTTTTTTAATAATTCAAAACGATAACAATTGCGCAAACCGGTTGTAATTGTATCGGCATTATCGAACTCAAAAGGCATTTATTGCTAACAGGACCCATAGTGCCCAACGTAAAACGAGCTAAAAATTGGTCACGTATTTGCATACATATAGGCTTATATTAAGATCACATGTAAATATATATGCCCATGGAAGTATTGCATATATACATGTACAGATATACATACATACATATATGTGTGTAGTTCTTGATTAAAAAAAAAGCCAAAACTCTAAAATATATTATTATTATTTTTTTTTATTAAAATAATGCCGAATAAGGAAGAAAAGAGTAATGCGTTTTTGGACCACACGCCTTCTGACTGATGGTGCCGGAATAACATGAGGCGCCATTTCCTATTAAATTCAAGGAAAATATGAATATGAAATTAAATTGTTTTATTTAATTAAATAACAGCAACTCCTAAAGGGAGCCAGGAGTTGGCACTGGCGGTTAACGGTGGTTGTCATAAAGGCTTTGTTTTTTCTCTGTGCGCCTTTATTTTTGTCGTATTGCTATTTACTCAATGCCTTGCCTTTGCAGCTTTCCGATCGAGGCGTACGCTGCATGAACGCTGTTTTTGCATTCTTTATAGTGGCTTGAAGTTAAATTTATATTAATTATACCACACAGAAATTCGCTCGCAGGCAAGACATGTCACACAGTGGATGAAAAGGCGCACGCATGCGCAAGTGTTTAGTTCAAACAGTATATGCGTATGCGTATTTGTTGTATTGAAATAGTGACTTTTATTATTTTTCGTTAATTAAGCAATTTATTTTGTCAGACATTTAGGGTGGTCTCCTTGCTAAATGACCGGCGGGCCTATGTTGGTATTTTTCAATTTTATCTTTGCATAATGAATTGCGTATATTTTAAGAGTTAACACAAGGTATAATGAAAAACATAAATAAACTTTTTATACTTTTTAAGTATCGCAGCAAAAAATACAGAAGYTAAAAACATAACCTAACTTTATTTTTGTTTCGCTTGTTCAGAATTGTAAGTTTGTTTTTTGATTTCTCTAGGTTGTCAATGAAAATGTGGACGAGCAGGACCGACTTGATGCCTCGATTTTACTGAAATCAATACCGAACTTGGGTATGATTATCGATCTGACGAACACCTCTCGCTATTATACGCCAGATGTAAGTTTTTTTGGTTAGTTTCTTTTTTCGAATAAAAAATGTGTGTTTTTCCTTTTCTATATTTTTTCGCTCACATATAGTGCTTTGTAAAGAAGGGTTTAGAGTATAATAAATTAATGATTCCTGGCCATCATACACCACCGCCACATTTGGTTGATCAGTAAGTACTGCCTACTTCTATCCATACATACACACAATACATATGTACATACATATGAATGTGTAATTTTTTGTAATTGCTTCATCATGTTTTTTTTTATATACAGATTCAAAAAACTGGTGTTTAATTTTTTAAATAAAAACGCGGGTAACGGTAAGTAAACCCATAATCGGAACTAACACAGCTGTTGCAGTAAATTTTTGTATTTTTTTTTTTATATATTTCTTCCCAAAAATATCATATTAGGAAATTATATATATTTTCTAGTTATCTCGTTTTTATTTTATTTTTTTAATATTAATTATTTTTTTTTATGCAAAATAAATTTTTTTTATGTAAAATATATTATTTCAGTATCAACGTGTGCAACAGCTGCTCACCCACTTTATAGCTAGTAAGAGTCATACACTTTCTGCATGCTTCACTCCATGCTTCAAGCCAATTATGAGCAACTCGCAAGTGTACCTACTTTAACATATATATATATATATATATATATATGTATATGTATATGTATGTATATAGTACTTTATAGTATATATGTAGTTGTGTATACCTTTCTAAATAGTAGTTTGCAGGCAACCACTTCGTGCTAACCGTCCCACGCGATTAAGATTGCCAATTAACCTAGACTTTTGAAACGTGGATCAAAATTCCAACAATTACTTTCTCAAGTAGCCATAAGCCATAGCGAAAATACTATTCATTTCTTAGTCAGCACAATAACATTATCTCTTCCAGCTGGTTTTACAATTGTCACGTTTATAGTGATAATAAAAGTTAGTTTGTGTTGAATTTTTAAGTTCCAGGAATATATACATATTTTTACTGCTACATATTTTTTTTTGACAAGTTGTCCATAAAATGCTCACAGTGCGCTGAATATCAACTTTTGTCGGCTTAACTAAAAAAATTCCATCTTTTAAATATTCTTTTTTAACACAGAGAATAATTTACGCAGCGGTCAATAAAATTAGTACCGACATAATACAAAATCTGTGTAAACAATGCACCCACAAATTGATATTGCAAACATAACGATATGAACAAGTAAAGCACAACTAACAACAAATCAGTATTTGCGGTGGTCTTGTCATCAACAACAACAGAAATATCAAGGCTGGCCCAAACCGTGGCGTCTGAAGAAGCGACAGCTGCGCCAACAAATGCAGTAGCGGAGGCGGCAGCTGCAGTGAGTGCTTGCTGGAGCCTACTCAGCATTCGGCCGCTACACAATAGTTCAAGCAAGCTATGCAAACATGACGAATATCATGTAAAATGCTCATGCGCCTAGCACTCGCTTCATCTTGCTGTGCAAATGCTGCTGTTGCGCTGACATGTTCTTCGAAATTTATTGCCCATGTTAAACACTATGTGTGTTGTTGTTACTGTTGTTATGCTTATTGTTGCCGTTGCAGCTTCCATGTCGCCGGCTTTCAACAGGTTTCGCATTTTCACATTTTTACTGTGTTTGAATATTATACTCGTACGTCTGTTGCACGAGCATTTAGTTTATCTCTGCAGCCGCAATGTCGTTGGCAGCACCAAAGCGCGTGTTTGGGCCAAACTGCTCCATTTGCGGCTCAGTGTGTGGGTGTTGACATATTTTTGCGGTTGGTTTTTGTAAATTAAAATTAAAATTTTGTGGTCGATTTCTTTTATGCACTTTTACATTTTGGTGCATTCTTTGTGGGCTTTGTTGGCCGACAATGGCATCTTTACTGCAAATAATATTTGCTTTGTGCCATTTTTTTAAACACATGCACTTATGACTCAAGCGGTTTCACGCCACGAACTATTCCTCTAGCAGAATGTGTATGACTGTAAGTGAGGTCTGCAGTCTTTGAATTAGCCAACTAAAATTTTGCAGACTTCTTTTTCTCTCCAAAAAGCTACTCCTTTGTTGAAACCGTTGTTATCGGACTACTATAGCATATAGCTGTCATATCAACAGAATGATCGGAATCGAGTTCTTGTATAGAAAACTTTTTTATTTTACCCGATATCTTCTCGAAATTTAGCAATAGATCATTGTCCAAGGCAACCCTGCAAACTCTGAACAAATCGCTAAGATCGGACCACTATAGCATATAGCTGCCATGCAAACCTATATTTGCCACATAAGCTTATAAACGTTTTTTTTTTCTTAAGTGTTCATTTCGGCAAAAATATGCATTGCTGTGCAACTCATTTAAATCTCTGTATTATTTCTAAACTATTTTATATAATATACTCCTTTCAATTCTTTTCAGACAAACTGATTGGTGTACACTGTACACATGGCGTCAATCGTACTGGCTACCTAATATGCAATTACATGATATCCGAGTTAGATGTGAAACCCGAAGAGGCAATAGACAGTAAGTAGCAACAAACTAATTTATTTACTATAATTACCTACTACATTTAGCAATAATAATTCAAATTACGTTCACACCGTATGCATAATTCAATATCTTATAGGTAGTGCAATTTTTCGAAATTTATCCTAACAAATAACCATTGAAGTTGCAAACGTTTTGATTTTTTCTTCTTTACGTCAGAATTCAATCTATCACGTGGTCACAAGATCGAACGGAGAAACTATATAGACTCGCTTTATAGTTTAACGAAAGCTGCCAAAGATGCCAACAGCCTCGAAAGTAAGCACAACGCCAACAACCTGGATTGCAAACCCTCGATTGAGACGTCCAGCAAGGAACCGATCTCATGGCGCGCAACGCAGGCACCCAAACTACCGCCGTCACCGAAGGAGTTCGACAGGCGCGATCGTTTCGAACGTATACGACAGGAAGCAAATTTGCAGCGTCAACCTGTCACCAGCGCCGCGAACGCTGCAGCAGCACGACCAGCGCGTCAATTGTTGGACAACAGCTTTGCCAACTCACCACGAAACGAACGCAACTATAGCAGTCGTTATGTTAATACTAGCAGACACTTGTCTCAAGGTAATTGGTAAGCCAGTGGGGACTGTGTCAACATATAGTATGCTTTAACCTGTCAATTATAGGTGGCGCCAGCTACCCCTACCCCAGCCACCGCCACCATGAAAAAATACGCTCGAATTTTAACCAATACGTTGATTATGCGCAGAACAATCACCGTTATGAAGACAGCACATATCGGGGGCGTTACGAACTCGACAATCGTGTGCCTCAAAGCAGCGGACATCACCATCATCCATATCGGCGCATATAGTTTTTTGGCGGCCCTTAATTTGCTTTGTGTTGACACGATTTTGTATATATGTATGTACATAAGCTTATGTATACGTCTCTTTTGGTCATCCAGTGTATTTTGATAAGCACAACTGCGTCCTGTGCGCTATTCTTCTATACAACTGCTGGTGTGCAATCAACAAGCATTATGTAAATTATGCAGTTATTTGCAAATAGTTTACATGTTTCATGTTAGGGTATAAACTCAAAATTTTAGTGAAACATTTTTTAAGCGCAATTTAAGCTTTCTTTGTGTCAATATGTTTTATATAAGCTTTGCATTGTAACTTTGAAAGGAAACTTTTGAAATCTGGAACATTAAGCAGATGTGTAATATATGTAAGTTTATATGCAAAAAGATTCGCTTAATTATGCTTTCAATAAACACAACTAATGTATACCTATAAAAAATTATCAGAGTATGAATACTTAAGGGGCGCACCTAGTGTGACAGCCTCTTACAATTTTTGGGAATTAAAACAAAAACAAAAAAATGATTAGACATTTTTAAGTTATATTTATAGATATGTCAAGAGCACAAAGTAAAGTTTTGGAAAAATTGAAAAGTTTGAATTTTTTGGAAAAATTTGAACTCTGAATATTTATGAAAAATTGAAAATTTTGAAATTTCTTTAAAAATTGTTAATTTCACATTTTTTTTAAAAGTTGATAATTTGAAAAGTTTTGAGAAATTGATAATTTTAAAATTTTTTGTAAAATTCTTGAAAAAAAAGAAATTTTTGGAAAAATTGAAATGTTTCAAAAATTGAAAATATTGAAAATATTTTGTAAATTTTAAGGTTATGAAAAATTTATAATATTCAAATTTTTGAAAAAAAAATTTTTTGAAAAATTAAATTTTTTTGGAAAATAAATTTTTTTTGAAAAATTAGAAAATGTCAGACGGCATTAAAAAAGTGGTTGTTGTTGTTCTTGTAGCAACAGAAAGAATATCTGAAATAATTTCGAGTAATCCTGCCGAAGTGGGCAAACGAAATTCCGGGTCCGTTCCGGTTACTTAAACCCAACTGTCTAGAAAATGGAAAAAGTTTTCCACTGCTGCACCACAAAAAAAAAAAAAAAAAATAAAACTAAAAATTCTCATTAAACTCGAAATAACACATATTTTGGTAATTTTTGGGTTGACAAAATTCAGTTCTTAAAAAACTTATATGTAGAATTATATGCAGAACAGACAGAAAAAAATTGCATGATGATCGGAGCATTTGTCTGCAAGTTAACAGTTCAGCAAATTCGAAAAATGCTGTGTCGAGAAAAATGCGTTCGAGCTGATTGAACATATTTGCTTTTCGAAATTTCATACCAAGGGCCCCATTCAGTAAATTGATTCAGATATCAAATAGACTATTCCATCTCTTAACGGGAGGGTTGCATTAATATTGGTATTTATCCAAGTAAATGTCAAGAAGCATAATTTTTGTTTAACTCGATCAATCGTAGCCATAACTAGTTGCACCCGCCGTAGTTTGTCTGCATAGAAAGTTAATATTCTACGCTCCTGCGCTCTCATGCTTTGATGCTTCATATTTCCCACAGCTGAAAGCATATAAACATATTATGAATATTTCGCCCGACGGTGCCAACAACAGTGCTTAAGTTGACAACCAATTAAAATTCATTTGCGACAAGCAGGTAGAAAATCAGATTCTTTCGCCAATTCTTGACATGTTGTGATGCAGCTTATCAGCAGCAAACATCTCATTTCTACAGCAAGCATTGCGACGCACACTGCCGCGGTGCCAGCGCTGAAGATCAGCGGTGATCGTGTGAAGATATGCACGCATTTACATGCAACTTAAGGCGAGCGCTTTCCGGGAATCGCAACTAAACGTTCCAGCTCGTTTATCAAACATATGTCATTTGGGTGCCTGGAGCGCGCATACGCAGCTATTGCCACTTGCCACACGGCAGCGTTGCCTACGTTATCGCCACAGTGCCTGTTCGTGGCGATTTGTGCTTGTGCATTTAACGCTTTTGATCAGTTCATTATTAGCTCGACATGGTGGTCAAGTGTCATATTTGTACACATACATAAGCATACAGACTGGCCCTTTAACTGCGAATTTTTTCATGCCGACATCTTGCATTAACAATTCGACGCTCATCAGCTTATCGTGATGATGATCGCGTTTCGCGCTCAGACCCCGCGCTGCCCTTGCGCAGCACACCAAGGTGGGTCGCACGTATGATTGCGTATTCAAATTTATAACAAGCTGCGTATGAGCTATGCGTCTGTGGCGAATTGCCGCCGCATTGCTGTGACAACGACAAATTGGCGGTAATTACAACGAAACAAGCTACATACATAATATTTAACGCGATCGCGATTAAAATCTCCTCGCGTTGGGGCATGAAGTTGGTCAGTGGAGCGATCGCGCTCAAAGGTTGCAGATAAATATGATATTTTGATGCATTTTTTATGCGATAAATGCGTGATATCTACGCAATATTTATGCATGCGTGTGTGAGTATGTTTGTAGTTGGCACAAAATGGCTTTGTTAGTACACCTTTAAATGCTTATATTTAAGGTAGTATGAGTATAAGTTAGTTCAAGTAGTGAAAAATAGAGAGAATTTACAACCACATTTTTAGGCATAAGTATTTTACATATAGATATGTATATAAAAACATCGTCTTTACAATTTGATAAATTGTTGAAAAAAATATAATTTTCTTTAAAAATGTAGTAATAATTTTGGTAATGTTGAAATGTGAATATAAAACGTAATTGAATTGCTTTTTTTCTATGAAATGCAAAGTGTCACCCTGCGTATGCTGTTTTACGGCGCCTTGAGGTATGCAACGAGCGTGTGGAGGTTATGGGATGGGAAGTGAAACGGGCTACTACGGCAGACACCTACTCCGTTAGACTGAGCGCCTGGTGCAAATCAAGGAATTTGCATGGCATTTCAGCTACATTGAAAAAAATTATTGTGTAATTTTTTTATTTGTACTTTTTGACATTGGAGCTTTTTTTGTGAAAATTTTGGGTAATCATTTGGATATATTTTTGGTTAGGATGGACGTTTTAATTTTTTTATTTGAATGAAACTATAGAAAATTTTTGTTGGAAAGTGAAAATTTAATATGAGAAAAGTAAAAAAAAACAATAAAAAAACATGAAAAAAATAATTTAACATTTTACATACTCGCAGCTTGACCGATAGATGCTATATAAAGTTTTAGTGGAAGTGCAAAATATTTGTCAAAACTTCCAGTATTGACCCGATTTGACCCATTTTTGACACAAGAGTATATTATCAAAGAAACATTTCTTACGAATTCAATTTGGGTGAGCAAAACGGTAACATTTTGGTCCACCATTTTATGAAACTTAAGATCTCACCTTTCCAACACTGTATGGTATGACACATTGTGATTGGTAGCACTGGAGATATACGAATGCAACGACAACTATTGACAAAATACGAAAATACTTTCTCGACTACCCAACATATCTCACGAATTGACTGATATTTTTGGCAAAAATCCAGCCATGCGCACTCGGTCCACATATTCGGTATGTGGGGCTTGAAAAGTTGTGGTTCGATTATCTGCTTTAGGTGCCATATCTCAAAGACGCTATCTATGCAAAGTTTTATCCGAATATATTCACAGGTGCTTAATTTGTGTGCTGCAAAGTGAAAGAGTCCGCTGGAATTAAAACGTTTGCTATATGAGAAGTAGGCGTGGTTGATTGCGACGAAAGTAACAAGTTCAAAATATAACATAGCACCGCCATTATAATGTTAAAGTCAATTTCCGGAACAATTTCTTGACTCAAAACGGTTCCCCCGGAACGGTCCTTTGAGTTTGCTGAATAGTCAGAAGTCACACGGAGCTAAATGAGGCGAATGCGGTGGTTGTGATACGATATTAGTTGAAAATTTGACAAAAAAAAAAAAAACTCATGAAACATCAATGCAGTATGCATTGTTGTGCAAAAATCAAGAGTTGCTGGCACATATTTCCGGGCTCGTTTTACGAATAGCTTCGCGCAAACGACGCATAAAACTCAAATAGTATTCCTTGTTGACAGTTTAACCATTCGGATGGAATTCGGAGTGCATCATAACTCGATAATCGCAGAAAACTCTGACCTTTTGACCTGCTTTGACGTGTTTTTTTTCGGTTTCGGCTCGATATTCGGCCGATTGATCCTCTGTTTCCGCGTCGTAAGCATAGATCCAAGACTCGTCGCTGGTAATAATACGTTGCATGACATGCTGGTACTCGGAAAGCATTGTTTCATAGACCTTAACGCTACGCTTGTTTTTCGAAAAAATCGAGTGGGTGTGAAACCAATTGTGCTTTCACTCTTCTTAGGCCCAATTGATCTTTCAAAATGGTTTTCGTTGATTCTTCCTATATTTCAATGATGGCAGCAAGGCACTGCTAATCGTCGGTTCTGAAGTACCAATTGATTTATTTTATTGACGTGTTGATCATCAGTTGATGTTGTTGGCCATCCTGGCCGTGTTTCGTCGTCAAAGCGTTCTCGACCCTATTTGTATAATTTTTACCAATCAAAAACATTTGCTCGTGACAAACAATTATCACCGAAGGCCTTTACAACATTTTGAACGTTTCGGAAGCAGTATTTTGGTTCCGCACACACACTTATATGTTGAATAATTTTACTAATCGTCGAATGCACTTTAAGTTTTTCAGATAGACAAGCGTATACTAAACACTAACGATTACTTTGGTGTGAAATTTGGCGCAGATGTCACTGACAGTTATACCAACCAAAAAAAAAATATTTCGACAATTGGATTTTCAAGCGAAATTTAAATTAAAAAGTCTTACTATTTTTTTACCACAGTAGTATATCTTTTTGGGTGTTGCCTTTTGCTCTTTTTAGCAATTTCCACCCCCAATAAATCACGGTCTTGGCATTCAAGCGCTGAACTTGTTAAAAGCCGACAATTTTCTCACTTCCAACCTGCGGTATGTCTGTATGTGCGATGCGCATGCGCAACTGCGCAAAATATGCCGTCAAAGGCGATTAACTTTAATCGCTGTTATTTAAATCAATGTCCATTTTAGTGGATTTATTTGGTGTTTCACGTACGTTCTGTAGGCTGCGCATGCGCATTCAGCGCTGTTGTTGCATGCGCAGCGCATAGCCCTTACCAATCATTTTGGCGCAGAATCAGCACACAATTTATGAGCCGTGCATAATTATTGCACACGAAAGCGCGCATGCATACATATGTGCATATTTACAAACATAGTTCTTCTATGTAAGTATTTCTCGCATGCGGCATGTGGTGGTTGGTGTGAGAAAATTGCATTGTGAATGTTGCAATGCTCACACAAAATAAGAAGACACCTATAATTGCATACTTTTGCCCAGCTCAAGCGCATATTTAGCTGCAAGTGTGATCTTCGCACGCGCATCAACAGCCAATTATGTACACTTTTGCGCATGCGCACAGTTCGCGTTGTCTTTTACCCTGTTTTACATTTGCGGTGTGCCAAGCAAGGTAGTCGAAGTGTTCGCAG